TTAGACAAAATCGTTTTCTTTTTCGAAAAGAAAAAACGTTGAAAAATGTTTTTTTTTAATTTTTCAAAAAAAATGTTTCTTGAAAAAAAAACAAAAATGCGCGACATGGAAGTTGTGAATAAAACGTTATTTCCGGGAAGAAAGTGTGAAAAAAGAACTTTTTTTCAAAAATGGGAGAGAATTTTAATGCTCTAGGAGAAGAAGAAAAAAAAATTTGGGAAATAAAAAAAAACCTCCAGTGGCACAGACTGCATTGGGATCCAAAAAAAAAAATAAAATAAAATAAATAAATAAATAAATCTTTTTTGTCGAACTTGACGGATATTTGTAATCGTTTTTTGATAACTTTCTTCTACTAACACCGCTTGTCACCTATTACAAATATTATGGTTTATAGCGACCAATTTTTGGAGAAACCAAATGTTCCTCTCCGCAAAAAAACGAAAAAAAAAGAAAACAAGAAAATAAAATAAAACTAGAAAATAAATAAAGAGAAAAAAACGAGAAAAGAAAATAAATAAAGAAAAAAAGAAAGAAAAAAAAGAAGCAAAAATAATGAAGCAAAAATAGTGAAGTAAAATTTAAAAAAAGACGGAAAAATGAAAAAAGGGGGAAAAAATAAAAAAAGGGGGAAAAATAGAGAAAGAAGTAAAAAGAAAAGAAGCAAAAAATAAAGAAAGAGGCAAAAATTTGTTTTTGTCTCTTTCTTTACTTTTGAATTTTATTCTTTTCTTTATTTTTTAAAGAAGCAAAAAATAAAGGAAGAAGCAAAAACTTTTTTTTTGACTCTTTCTTTATTTTTGAATTTTTTTTTCTTTATTTTTTAAAGAAGCAAAAAATAAAGAAAGAGGCAAAAATTTATTTTTGTTTTCTCTTTCTTTATTTTTGAATTTTTCTTTTCTTTATTTTTTAAAGAAGCAAAAAATAAAGAAAAAGGCAAAAAAAAATTTGTGTCTCTTTCTTTATTTTTTTTTCTGTATTTCTTAAAGAAAAAAAATTCAAAAATAAAGAAAGAGAAAACAAAAATAAATTTTTGCCTCTTTCTTTATTTTTGAATTTTTTTCTTCTATATTTTTTTAATTTTCTTTTCTTTATTTTTTGCCGAAGCAAAATATAAAGAAAAGAAAATTCAAAAAATAAATTTATTTCTTAAAGAAAAAAAATTTAAAAATTAAAGAAAGAGACAAATTTTTTTGCCCCTTTTTATATTTTTGAATTTTTTTTTCTTTATTTTTTGAATTTTCTTTTTTTTATTTTTTGACGAAGCAAAAAATAAAGAAAAGAAAATTCAAAAAATAAAGAAAAAAAAAATTCAAAAATAAAGAAAAAGGTAAAAATACAGAAAAAGAGTAAAAATAAAGAAAGGGGCAAAAAATTCAGAAAAGAAGGAAAAAATAAAGAAAGGGGCAAAAAATTCAGAAAAGAAGGAAAAATAAAGAAAGGGGCAAAAATAAAGAAAGAAGCAAAAATAGAGAAGCGAAAGAAAAAATTCCCAGATTTTCACCAATTAACTTTCAAAACCATCAAAAAAATTTGCTTCAAAAATTATTGCGAAATTGCAGAAAAATTTTAAAGTAAAAAAAAAAAAAAAAAAAAAGGAGGGAAACATTTAAGTCGATCTGTGTTTTTTTATATTTCGTAGATCCGTGGTCTCGCGGAGAAGGCTTTCTCTTTTTTGTACCTTGAGACCTGGAATCACGTGTTTTTATTGATTTATACGAGAAAAAAAAATATAAATAATAAATAAATAAAAAAAAAAAATAATTAGTCAAAGAAATCAAGAACGTCGACGAGTTCTAAGTAAAATAACAAAAAAAAAAAAAAAAAAATCAACGTTATTACGTCTCTAGTCATATAAATAGTAAAAAGGAAAAAAAATGGTTACAATAGTATGTATGTATGAAGGATGTGGAATATAATAATAATAATCCGCAAATTTACATAAATTTTTTTTGGAAAATGCTAATATTGTGTTTTTTTTTCTTTTTCATTTTTTTTTTTTTTAATTTTTAATTTTTCTCTGGAAAATCTTGTATCGATCGCGACGAGACATTGTGACTACAGGACTTGAGGCGAGAGAAAGGGAAAGGGAATTATATTATATATAAATATTATTATATAATAAAAATGAGACTTTTTGGGAACCGTCGTGAAGAGTATAAAATGAATAAAAGTACTTTTAAAAAATTACAAAAAAATAAAATGATGTGTTTTTTTATATTTGGAAGGAAAAAAAAGAACCCTTTCTTTTTAGAGAAATAGAAAATAGTTTGGAATTTTTGTAGAGAATTTATAATTTTTATTACCAGAAAAAATACAGTTAATGGCATTTTATTCAACTTTTATAATTTCGAATCTGAAATAATTTAATATTGCAAATTGAATTTTATGGAAATTTTTGAAAATAATTAAATTGTTTCGATTAATTATTAATCATGAAAATAATAAGTAAATATTATTATTTATGAAAATAATTCAATTCTTGCAGAAAATAATTTAATTCTAGATACAAATTTTATTTATTTATGAAAATAAATCAATTCTTTGCGGAAAATAATTGAATTTCAACGATAAATTTTATTATTTAAGAAAACAATTCAATTATTGTAGAAAATAATTCCATTTCAGCGACAAATTTTATTATTTATAAAAATATTTTAACTCTAGCGAAAAATTTTACTATTTGAATTGTTTCGAAGAATTTATTAAAAATAATTGAATGTTTCTGGAAAATTTTATTAGTTTTTGAAATAATTGAATTATTGCGAAGAATTTTCAAAAAATTTTTAAAATAATTGATTTTTTGCTTAGTATTTTTTTTTAATTTTCTAAAAAATTTAAATTTTGTCTATAATTTTGTTTTTTATAAAAATCATACAATTCTTGCAGAAAATAATTGAATTTATTGCCAAGAATTTTATTATATTTAAAAATAATGAATTTTTGCGAAGAATTTTACTATGTTTATAAAAATAATTGAATTGTTTCAAAGAATTTATTAAAATATTAAAAAATAATTGAAAATTCTTCCGAAAAATTTTTATTATTTTTCAAAATAATTGAATTATTGCGAAGAATTTTTAAAAAAATGTTAAAGGAATTGAATTTTTGCCTAGTATTTTTTTTAACTGCAAAAAAAAATTGAATTTTTGCCTATGATTCTTTTTTTTATAAAAATTATTCAATTCTTGCAGAAAATAATTGAATTTCTTTGAGGAATTTATAAAAATATTGAAAAATAATTGAAATTCAATTATTGAATTCTTCTGGAAATTTTATTATTTATAAAAATAATTGAATTGTCAAGAATTTTATTATTTTTGAAAATAATTGAATTATTGACAATAATTTTACTATTTATAAAAATAATTGAAATGTTTCGAAGAATTTATTAAAATAATATAAAATAATTGAATTATTGCGAAGAATTTTCAAAAATTTTTTAAACGAATTGATTTTTGGCTTAGTATTTTTTTTAATTTTCTAACAAATTTAAATTTTGTCTATAATTTTGTTTTTTTATAAAAATCATTCAATTCTTGCAGAAAATAATTGAATTGTTGACAAGAATTTTATTATTTTTAAAAATAATTGAATAATTGCGAAGAATTTCACTATTTTTGAAAAATAATTGAATTGTTTCGAAGGATTCATTAAAATATAAAAAAATATTGGAATTCTTTTGGAAAATTGTATTATTTTTCAAAAGGTAATTGAATTATTGCGAAGAATTTAAAAAAAAAATTTAAAGGAATTGAATTTTTTCCTAGTATTTTTTTTAATTACAAAAAAAATGAAATTTTTGCCTACAATTCTTTTTTTTAAATTATTCAATTCTTGAAGAAAATAATTGAATTTTTTTGAAGAATTTATAAAAATATTGGAAAATAATTGAATTCTTCTGGAAATTTTTATTATTTATCAAAATAATTGAATTGTCAAGAATTTTATTAAAATTTTCGAAAATAATTGAATTATTGGGAATAATTTTATTAGTTATAAAAATAATTGAATTGTTTCGAAGAATTTATTAAAATATAATAAAATAATTGAATTGTTGAATTTTTTTAATAGAATTGAATTTTTTGCCTAAGTATTTTTTTTAATTTTCTAAAAAACTTGAATTTTTGCCTATAATTTTTTTTTTTTTACAAAAATCATTGAATTCTGGCAGAAAATAATTGAATTATTGTGACGAATATTATTTATAAAAATCAATTATTGCGAAGAATTTTGTTAAAATTTTTTTCGTTTTCATTTTATTATTTTTCAAAGTAATTGATTTATTGAAAAACATTTTTGGGAAGATTTTTATTATTTTTTAATAAAATAATTGAATCCTCGACAAGAATTTTATGTAAAAATAAAAAAATAATTGATTTTTTTCAGAACAAATTTATTTTTTTAGAAAATAATTAAATTTCTTATGAAGAATTGAATAAAAATTGTAGAAAATAATTGAATTCTTGAGACAAACTTCACTTTTTATGGAAGTAATTGAAAAGTAACGCAGAATTTTATTTTTTATTTAAAATAATTGAATTCTTGCGAACAAGTTTTTTTTTGTTTATAAAAAAAAATGAATTTTCTTTTTGCTGAAAATAATTTAATTCTTGACAAGAATTTAAAGAAAATTAATTTTTGAAAAGAATTTTATTTTTTAAGAAAATAATTCATTTTTTGTAAAAAAATTTGATCAAAATTATAGAAAGTAATTGAATTCTTGTGACTAATTTTATTTTTTATGAAAATAATTGAATTTTTCAAAAACATTTTTTTTTGTTTATAAAAATAATTGAATTCTTACGAATTACTTTATCAAAATTCTGGAAAATAAAATTGAATTCTTTCTGTCGTTTATTTAAAAATAATTAAATTCTTGAGGAAGAAAAAAATTTTTGAAAATAATTGAAATCTTGCGAAAAATTGAACGAACAATATTTTTTTCAACAATATAAAAATAATTAATTAAGTAAATAGTAATTGCGATTTATTTATTTCTTCTTTTATTTAATAAACTTTTGTTTAACGACCTGATTGGCATTTAAGACAATAATACAGAATGGAGAATAAACTAAAAAATTATTTCATTTTTTTTTCTGTAACACTAATTACATTCTTCTTTTCCATTAATTTGATGGAAGTATTTTATTTTATTTTTGATCACCAGAAGCATTTTTTATTTCTTCTGACAATGAATTTTTCTCATCCTTAGAATTATTATTATTAACAATTTCTTTTTCTGAAATTTCAATTGTAATTTTTATTGTCAATTTTTTTTCTTAAATTATAAAAAATTAATTTGATGGAAAAAATAATAATAATAAAAAATAATAAAAAATTTTAATTATTGTCAATTTCTTAATTAAGTTAAGTTAATTAAGTAAACTAGTAAAAAAATATTAATTAAATTATTTTCAACTTTAAATCGATTAAAAATTAAAATAATTTCAAATATTGTCGAAAATTTAATAAAAAATCAAAGATTGATTTTAATTCCTGCTTTATTTTTTAAATACCTTTAATCGCTAAACGATCCTCCACCATTAATTCTTTAGTAAAACCTTCGATTTCTATTTTTGTATTTTCTCCCCAATTTTTGACAATTAAATCTCTCTTTAAAAAATTTCTCGTCTCCTTGGAAAACATGAAAAGATATTTCCATTTTTTCGAACGTATTTTTCTCAATGTTTTAACATCGAATTTCTCCTGAGTGAAGAGAGATTTTTTTTTGTAAATCCTCTGACAATCGAAATAAAAATTCATCTTTTTCGAATTATTCCTCGAAACAATTGAAACTTCATTTTTAATTTTTTCATTCTTTACAATTTTAAAATTACAATTTCCTCGTTCATTTTCTTTTTCCATTTCGCTCAGAGTTTTTTTTAATTTTTTCTGTGAATCGAATTTTTCTAATTTCGAAATTTCGAGTTGAAAATTTCCTTTTTCTAGTAAAAAATCTAGTGATTGTATTTTTTTTCCTTCGCTATTTTTATTTGATGAAATAAAAATTTCATTTTTCCTCTCATCTAATTCGGTGGATTTCGATTTTTCAATTTCTTCAATATTTAATTTTTCGTTTACAGACGAATTATTTTCACTTTTTTTACTTTTCCCCAAGAGTTCGAATTTCGTGTCGTCGTCGATTTCCTCAATTTTCGGTTTCTTAAAATTTGTCTAAAATTTTTTTTTCACTTTTTTAAAGTCGTTTTTCGATTTTTAATTTTGAGTTTTTCAGTAAATGTAAAATTATAAAGTAGAGAAACACTTATTATCATCAATATTTCATCTTTCTTCTCTTAATTAATTTTAATTAAAATAAAAAAGGAAAAAAAAATTATTTCCGATTTTTTTTTTTTTTTTGGTAATTATAATAAATTTAATATAAAATTAATTCTCCTCTTAATTAATTAATTTCTATTAAAAGTACAAGAAAAACATTTTTTATTTTTCCAATATTTTTAGTAATTATAATAAAAATTATAATTTTTAATATTAATTATTAAAAATAGTTTTAAAAAAATGTTATATTAATTAATTTAAAAAATATTATCTAAATAAATAATTTTTCCTTTTGTCAAATAATTTTTATGAATAGAAAATAATTAAATTTTTGAAAGAAAGAAATAATTGACGATGATAATGAAAAAAGAATCGAGATAGAAAAATACTAATTTTTCTTTTTTTGTAAAATTAATGTGAATTAAAAAGAATTTGAAAAAGAAAATAATTGATAAAATTTCACCTTTATTTCCCAAGGTAGAAGAATTTCTCTAATCGATTCTCCCTTGTGAATCTTCTTCGTCTCATCCTCTTGGTCGCTATTATCATCTTCCTCGATCTCTAAGCTATTCGTCGTCAATGTGACAGTCGATATTTTCTCCTCCAGCATCAACTATGCATTTTATTTGCAAGACGAATTCATTTCAAAAATTCAAATCAACAACAAAATTCTGTATATTTATATGTATCAAACATTTTTTAATATTAAATCTCTCTCACCATTTCACACTTGCTGATTTCATTTTGCAATTCTTTCGATTCAACTTGTCGAGACACTGATTTTCTTTTTCTGATGAGACCTGAAACAATATTTATTTATTTATTTATTATTCTCAAGAAATTCAATCAAGATTCGCGGTAGAGAATTATTTTTATTAACCAAAAAAAAGTGCGTCGCAAAAATTCAATTATTTTTATAAACAAAAAATGAAATTCGTCGCAAGAACAATTCAATTATTTTCTACAATTTTGATCAAATTTTTGGCAACAATTCAATTTTTAATTTAAATATAATATTCTTGTCAAGAATTAAATTATTTTCAGCAACAAGAAAATTCGTCTCAAGAATTCAATTATTTTTATAAACAAAATTCTAAGCAAAAATTCAATTATTTTCTATAAATTGGAAAAAATTCTTGGTAACAATTCAAATTATTTTCATAAATATTTAAATTCTTCTCAAGGATTCAATTATTTTCAGAAACAAAAAAATCCTTGCAAGAATTCAAAATTACTTTCTATAATTTAGATGAAATAATTCCCAAAAATTTAATTATTTCAGAAAAAAAGAATTTTTTTTCAAAAATTCAATTATTCTTTGTTTAAAATAAAATTCTTGTCAAGAATTCAATTATTTTTAGCAAAAAGAAAATTCGCCGCAAGAATTCAATTATTTTCTATAATTCGGATGAAATAATTCCCAAGAATTTAATTATTTTTATAAACAAAGAAAATTCTTTGCAAAAATTTAATTATTTTCATAAAAATTAAAAAATAAAATTTGCAAAAAGAATTCAATTATTTTCTACCATTTTCATAAAATTCTTCGCAAAGATTCAATTATTTCGATAAAAAATAAAATTCTCCTCAAAAATTCAATTATTTTTTTTTCAATAAAATTCTTGTCAAGAATTCAATTATTATTTTTAGCAAAAAGAAAATTCGCCGCAAGAATTCAATTATTTTCTATAAAATTTAGATGAAATTATTCCCAAGAATTTAATTATTTTTATAAACAAAGAAAATTCTTTGCAAAAATTCAATTATTTTCATAAAAATTAAAAAATAAAATTTGCAAAAAGAATTCAATTATTTTCTACCATTTTCATAAAATTCTTCGCAAAGATTCAATTATTTCGATAAAAAATAAAATTCTCCTCAAAAATTCAATTATTTTTTTTTCAATAAAATTCTTGTCAAGAATTCAATTATTATTTTTAGCAAAAAGAAAATTCGCCGCAAGAATTCAATTATTTTCTATAAAATTTAGATGAAATTATTCCCAAGAATTTAATTATTTTTATAAACAAAGAAAATTCTTTGCAAAAATTCAATTATTTTCTGCAAGAATTGAATGATTTTTATAAAAAAAAACAAAATTATAGACAAAATTTAAATTTGTTAGAAAATTAAAAAAATACTAAGCCAAAAATCAATTCGTTTAAAAAATTTTTGAAAATTCTTCACAATAATTCAATTATTTTATATTATTTTAATAAATTCTTCGAAACATTTTAATTATTTTTATAAATAGTAAAATTATTGTCAATAATTCAATTATTTTCAAAAATAATAAAATTCTTGACAATTCAATTATTTTTATAAATAATAAAAATTTCCAGAAGAATTCAATAATTGAATTTCAATTATTTTTCAATATTTTTATAAATTCCTCAAAGAAATTCAATTATTTTCTGCAAGAACTGAATAATTTTTATAAAAAAAAAGAATCATAGGCAAAAATTCAATTTTTTTTGTAGTTAAAAAAAATACTAGGCAAAAATTCAATTCCTTTAACATTTTTTTAAAAATTCTTCGCAATAATTCAATTATTTTGAAAAATAATAAAAATTTTTCGGAAGAATTTTCAATTATTTTTTAATATTTTAATAAATTCTTTGAAACAATTCAATTATTTTTATAAACAGTAAAATTCTTCACAACAATTCAATTATTTTTAAATATAATAAAATTCTTGGCAATAAATTCAATTATTTTCTGCAAGAATTGTATGATTTTTATAAAAAACAAAATTATAGACAAAATTTAAATTTTTTAGAAAATTAAAAAAAAATACTAAGGAAAAAATCAATTATTTTAAAATTTTTTTGAAAATTCTTCGTAATAATTCAATTATTTCAAAAACTAATAAAATTTTTCAGAAAAATTCAATTATTTTTAGTAAATTCTTCGAAACAATTCAAATAGTAAAATTTTTCGCTAGAGTTAAAATATTTTTATAAATAATAAAATTTGTCGCTGAAATTCAATTATTTTCTGCAATAATTGAATTGTTTTCTTAAATAATAAAATTTATCGTTGAAATTCAATTAGTTTCCGCAAAGAATTGATTTATTTTAAAAATTTTTAGAAAATTTTTGTCAAGAATTCAATTATTTTTAGCAAAAAGAAAATTCGCCGCAAGAATTCAATTATTTTCTATAATTTAGATGAAATTATTCCCAAGAATTCAATTATTTTTATAAACAAAGAAAATTCTTTGAAAAAATTCAATTATTTTCATAAAAATTAAAAAATAAAATTTGCAAAAAGAATTCAATTATTTTCTACCATTTTCATAAAATTCTTCGCAAGGATTCAATTATTTTGATAAAAAAATAAAATTTTCCACAAGAATTAATGATTTTCCGAAACAAAAAAATTCGTCTCAAGAATTCAATTACTTTCTATAATTTTGAGTCAATTTATTGCAAGAATTCAATTACTTTTATAAATAACAAAATTTTTTACTCGAATTCAATTATTTCGAATTCAATTTTAATAAAATTTTTTGAGAAAGTTCAATTATTTAAAAAAAATTATAATAAAATTCTTCGAAATAATTCAATTATTTTGAAATTTTTTTTTTAAAAAACTTTTTAAAAGAAAATCCAATTATATTTTTAAAACAATTTTAATAAAATTTATTCCCAATAATTTAATTCTTTTCTAAAATTTTAATAAAATTCTTAAAGTTACTTCAATTATTTAAAATGCAATTTTAATAAAATTTCTCAAAATAATTATTTTTAACAAATTACAATAAAATTATCCGAAATATTTCAATTATTTTCAATTAACTTGATAACATTTTTTGCAACAATTCAATTATTATTATAAAAAAAATTCTTCGTAAGAATTTAATTACATTCTTAATTTTAAGTACCTAATTAATTATTTTCAGAAAAAAAGGAATTCATCGCAAAAATTCATTTATTTTGTAAATAAATTTGATAAATTTCTTGATAAGAATTCAATTTTTTTTTTTAAGCAAAAAAAAATTCTTCGCAAGAATTCAATTATTTTCATAAAAAAAAAATAAAAATTTGCCACAAGCGTTTAATTAATTTTGTAAAGAATAAAAATTTTTCACAAGAATTCAATTATTTTTATAAACAAAATTCTTCCGAGGAAAATTTCAATTATTTTCGTAAAAAATAAAAATTTTGCCCTAAGAATTCAATTATTTTCATAAAGATAAAGAAAAAAAATATTATTACGAAAATTCAATTCAAAATTCAAATTCATTTTCAGGAAAAAAAAATATTTTGTTAGAATAATTAAATTATTTTTTATAATTTTCATAAAACTTGACTTCAATTCAATGTTTTTTCATTAATAATTACATTATTTTTATGAACAAAAAAAATGTTTCGCAACAATTCAATTATTTTCGTAAAAAATAAAATTTGCCACAAGAATTCAATTAACATTTTTTTTTTTTTTTTTTAATTAATTAAAATATAAAAATGCGAATTTAATTTGCAAAATTTCTCACCGAGTACACTTTCATTTATTCTATTTCGTTCCTGTTGAATGAGTCGTTGTCTTTCGGCAGTTTCCTCAGCAGGACCTCCTCTTTCCCTTTGAAAAAATTTGTTAAAGATTAAAATTTAAAAAGAAAAAAAATATGTTATCATTTTTTCGAAAAATATATTTTCTTTTTTAGATATAATAATAATAATAATTTTTATACCAAGCTTCTGCACAAGCACGATCTCGGGGAAAGACTGGCCTCTCGTCCAGGTGCATCAGGTTCCTGCATTTCAAGATTAAGGTTTTTCGATACATTTTCATTGATTTCACAACTGGATTTCCCGTCAAGGTCAGAACTCTTAAGCACTTCATGTTTCCTAGAATCTTAGAAAAAAAATAATTAATTACAACTGTATAATAATAATTATTATTTTTATTTTTTTACTATTTTTTAATTTTGAATATTAATATTTTGGCTATTTTTATTTTTAATTTTTTACTATTTTTTAATTCTGAATATTACTATTTTTGCTATATTTTATACTATTATAACTGATTTTTTAACTATATTTATTTAATATTATTAATATTTTCAGATTACAGGACAAAAAATCCAAGGAATTTTTTTCTTTGAAAGTCTAAAGTACAAAAAATCCAAAATAAAAATGTCCAAAGTCAAAAAATCCAAATTAAATAAAAATATCCAAAATAAATAATGAAATATGTAAAAAAAGCCTCGTTTTTACTTTTTACACTATAAAATCGATCTATAAATATAAATATTAGTAATAATAGCATCAAAAATAGGAAAAAACAATAATATAATTTATATTTTAATTAAATAAAAAAAAAGTTTTTTTAAAAATTGCTTTTGAAAAATATTTACCTCGAGTACTTCCAAGGTATCAATTTTATTATGCGACAAATCTAATATCGAGAGATTCTCAAGAGACTGCAACTCTTCAATGTCGTCCTTCTTCTCAAGAAAATTGTGCGAAATATTCAGAGTATTTAGCAATTTCAGACAATCTAAAATTACAAAAATTCTGGTATTAAATTATAATTTATATATAATTATATAATTCTTGATTATATTGAAAATAAGAATTTCGAATATTATTTGCTTTTTCTAATTTTTCAGTTTACCGAGATTTTCTATTTTCCTAATCATATTGTGCGATAAATTCAAACTGTCCAGTTTCGTTAAATATTGGAGATTTTCGATTTTGGTTATTAAATTATTCTGAAGATAAAGGCTCTTCAACTCCGTCTGGTTCTCGAGATTTGCTATCTCACGAATTCCATTATTCTCAAGCCAAACACATTTTAGACCAGTGTATCTCTCCAAATTTTCAATGAACGAAAAACCTGCCAGCACAAAATTTCATTTTTCTATTAATATACAATTTACGAATTAAATTTGAAATAGAACAAAATAAATAAAAAATGACATCGAAAAGAAAATACGAAAAAATTAGAAATTAAAGTGAAAAAGTAGAAAAAGAAAAAATATAGAAAAAAGGGAAATTATTTTCAGAAACAAAGAAATTCGTCGCAAGAATTCAATTAATAATTAAAACCAGGGAAAAAAGGGAAAATTAGAGAAACCAAAAAATGAAAAATAAAAAAAAAAGGGGAAAAATTGTAAAACCAAAAAAATGACTTAATTTTAAAAAGGGAAATAAAAATGGGAAATTTAGAGAAACAAAAAAATGAAAAAACAAAAAAAAGATTAAATTTAAAAAAGGGAAATAAAAATGGGGAAAAAAAAGAAAAATGGGAAAATTAGAGAAACCAAAAAATGAAAAAAAAGATTAAATTTAAAAAAGGGATATAAAAATGGGAGAAAAAAAAAGAAAAATGTGAAAATTAGAGAAATCGAAAAATTGGGAAAAATTAAACCAAAACAATTATTTAATTTTAAAAAAGAAAAATAAAAAAAAGGAAAAATAGAAAACATAAGAAAAAAGGGGAAAATAGAGAAACAAATATGAAAAAATAGGGGAAAAATAAAAAAAAGGAAAAATTGAAAACATAAGAAAAAAGGGCAAAATAGAAAAACAAATATGGAAAAATAAGGTAAAAATAAAAAAAAGGAAAAATTGAAAAAATTAAAAGAAGAAAAAATAGGAAAACGAAAAAATGAAAAAATATAAAAAAGGGGGGAAAGGCAAATAAAAAAATAGGAAAAAGAAAAAAGTGAAAAGTAAAAAAAAATTTTTTTTAATAAAGTATATAAATATTAAACAATTAGAAATTGAAATTAAAAACCTTTAAAATGTAAATATAAAACATCATTCAGATGTGGAGTCTGATATAATTTTTGTTCCTTGCAATGTTTCCTGAGAAATTCCTCCGTCATTCTAAAATACAGAAAAATAATTTATTATTTTTTTTAAAAACTGATTAAATTTTCTAAATAAGGAAAAATAAAATTCCAATTATTAAATAATATTAAAAATAATACTAAATTATTTATTTATATTACAAATCAACAATTATATTGTAAATGAAATCAAGAATATCATTTTTCTGAAAATGTCTAAGATGGAATTAAAATAATAATAAAATAAAATAAAATAATAATAATAATAATAATAATAATAATAATAATAATAATAAAATAATAATAATTAAAAATATTATTTCTCTTAAAATTATTTAGTGTCAAAAAAAATTTTTTTTCAAATACCTCACTCCATGTTTTTTTGGATCAAAATCGTATATTTTTCCCTTGATGAAATTTTTTTTCTCCATTAGTTCAAAATCAAATTCGTCACTATCTGAATTATCTTCAGTTAATTTTTTTCTATTTTCATTGAATTCTTCTTTCTTTCCTTCTTCGTTATTTTTTTCGGCAAATTCGATATTATTTTCTTTGTCACATTCACTTTCTTTATTATTTTCGAATTTTTCTTTATTCTCTTTGTCGCATTCACTTTCGTTATTATTTTCCTCGTTTAATTGTTTTTTCTCAAGTTCAACATTATTTTCCCCGCCACATTCACTTTCTTTATTTCGATTTTCTTTCGATTGATTATTTTCAAATTTGAAATTATTTTCCTTGTTATATTCACTTTCTGTAGAGTTTTCTTCAATTAATTGAAAATTTTCCCTGTTACATTCCGTTTCTTTTTTATTTTTTTCTTTTAATTCATTATTTTCCTTGTTAAATTCGCTTTCTTCACTATTTTCTTTCTTTAATTCATTATTTTTATTGGCAAATTCACTTTTTTCACTATTTTCTTCTTTTAATTCATTATTTTCAAATTCGAAATTTTTTTCTTCGTCACTTTTGCTTTTTTTATTATTTTCCTCTTTTTCAAATTTATTTTCTTCGTCTTCTTCTTTATTTAATCGATTATTTTCAGCTCCAAAATTTTCTTTCGTGTCAAATTCACTTTTTCTTTCAGTTTCTTCGTTTAATTGATTATTTTCAAATCTGAAAATTTCTTTCTTGTCAACTTCACTTTTTTCTTCTGTTTCATCGTTTAATTGATTATTTTCAGCTTCAAAATCTTTTTCCTTGTCATTTTCACTTTTTCTATTATTTCCCTCTTGTAATTCAATTTCTTTTTCGACTCTTGACTCTTTTCTTTTAATTTCGTTTAATAAATAATCGTCATTCACTGTTTTTTGTAAATTATCGTCAAGTATTTCCTTAACAATCAATTTACTCTCTTCCTGTGATTTTTCTTCTGTACTTTCTCCAGTATTTTGATAATAAAAATCACAATTTTCCAAATTTTCCTCTTCTTTCAAAAGTGGAATTTTCATTTCCACTTTTTCTCTATTTTCTTCGTTTTTAATTTTATCATTTTTTAACGTTTCTTTCATTAGAATATTTTCTTTTATTTTTTCAATATTTTCTTCCCTTTCAATATTTTTTCCATTTTCAATATTTTTTTCGTTTTCAATATTTTCTCCATCTTCGATATTTTCCTTTTCAATATTTGTTCCATTTTCGATATTTTCCCTTTCAATATTGTTTCCATTTTCAATGTTTTCTTTCTTTTCAATATTTTTTCTATTTTCGATATTTTCCTTTTCAATAGTTTTTCCATTTTCAATATTTTTTCCATTTTCGATATTTTCTTCCTTTTCACTATTTTTGACTTCATTTTCGATATTTTCTTCCTTTTCACTATTTTTGACTTCATTTTCGATATTTTCTTCCTTTTCACCATTTTTGATTTCATTTTCAATATTTTCTTCCTTTTCACTATTTTTCCCCCAATTTTCAATATTTTCTTTCATTTCAATATTTTTTTCATTTTCAATATTTTTTCCAATTTCAATATTTTCCTCCTTTTCAATATTTTTTGCATTTTCAAAATTTTCTTCATTTTGAATATTTTCTTTCTTTTGAATATTTTCTTTAATTTTTTCAATATTCTTTTCACTTTCGATTTTCTCTCCTTTCATTCTTTCGTCAATTAAAATTTCCCCTTTGTTTTCACTTTCATTTTCTTTCGTTTCTTCTTTAAAAATTTCAATTCTGCTGTTTTCCTCTTCTTTCTGATTATTTTCTGAATTTTCAAATTCAACACTGAGATTTTCCAATGCCAAATTTTTTGTATTTTCAATTCTTCTTTTTAATTCTTCAATTTCTCGTAAAGTTTCCTCAACATTTAATTCCATTACGGAATTATTTGTTTCCATGATTTTTGCCAATTTTTCTCTATTTCGATTTAAAATTTCTTTCGAAGAAATTTTCACATTTTTCAAAATTGAATTTTCCTCAATTTTGGAAATTTCTTTCTCTTCATTTCGAATATTTATTAATTCCTCGACAAATTCTTCTTTGTTATTAAATTTCTCTTTCACTTTTTCCTTCTTTTCTTTTTCTACTTTTTCTTCATTTTCTTTTTCTTTTTCCGCGTTTTCTACTTTTTCTACTTTCTCTTCGTTTTCAATTTTTTCTACATTTTCTACTCTTTCTACCTTTTCTTTATTTTCTTTTTCGACTTTTTCTTCGTTTTCTACTTTTTCTTCATTTTCTTTTTCTATTTTTTCCTCATTTTCTTTTTCTACCTTTTCATCGTTTTCTACTTTTTCTACTTTCTCTTCGTTTTCTACTTTTTCCTCTTCGAGATAAATTTTCCTCTCCTCCCCAACACTAGAAAATAATTTTCCCCCTTTGTCAAAAAATTCCTTATTCAAAAATTCAGACAAAAAAACCTCTTCTTCTTCCTCTTCGTTTTCTTTACTCAAAAAAAAATCCAAATCCATTTCAAAATCTTCGTCTCCCTCCTCGGAAAATTGCATTTTCTCCATCCAACTTTTCTCATCAAGCACAGAAAGAGAAAATTTTCCCGCCTTCTCATCGAGGAAATTTTTTCTAATTTTCTCATTTTCCTCGAAAGCATTTTCCATTTGTAAAAATTCATTTTCGTCAATTATTTTCACCTCCTGTCTCGACAAAAATTTCCAATTTTCATTTTCCATTCGCGTGAAATCCTCCAAATATTTATCAACAAAATCTTCTCGTTTCTCGTCCAAAAGAAACTTTAAACGATCGTTTATTTTTTTTTGACCGTCTAGTGCTCTCTTCATTTCGTCAACTTCTCTCATTAATTTTCTCGTTCTTCTCTCACTTTCGATTAATTCCCCCAGACATTTATTTTCCTCTGTTGGGGAATTTTCTTCCGTTTTTGTCAATTTTGGCGAATTTTCTTCGCGTTTCGGTAAAAATACGTCGAAATCTTCTGCTTTTTCCGATTTTTGTGAATTTTCGTCTCGTTTCGGAAAAAAGGCCAAAAAATCATCCGCTTTTTCCAATTTTGGCGAATTTTCTTTTATTTCCGGAAAATATTCAAGAGCCTCAAAATTATTCGTTTTTTTCAATTTTGACGAATTTTCTTTTATTTCCGGAAAATATTCAAAAGCCTCGAAATTATTCGCTTTTTCGAATTTCATCGAATTTTCGTCTTGTTTCGAAAAATATTGAAAAGCCTCGAAATTCTCGTTTTTTGATTTTGACAAATTTTCCCTTTTTTCCGGAAAATAGTGAAAAGCCTCGAAATTATCAGCTTTTTCGAATTTCATCAAATTTTTCTCTAGTTCAGGACAAAAAAATGTTTCCGCTTTTTCTAATTTCGTCAAATTTTTGTCTTGTTTCGAAAAATATTCAAAACCCTCAAAATCCGTTTTTTTCAATTTCGACAAATTTTTTTCCCCTTTCGAAAAAAATTCAAAAACCTCGAATTTATCCATTTTTCTCAAATTCGTCGAATTTTCCTCACTTTCTGAAAATTGTTCAAAATCCTCAAAATCCTCATTTTTCAATTTCGGCAAATTCTCCTCTTTTTTGGGAAAATATTCAATCGCCTCGAAATCGTAAGCATCGTAATTATTGAGATCGTATTCGGTGAATTCTTCTTCATTTTTTTCTCTTCTATTTAAAAATTCTTCGAGTTCGTCTCTAAGGTTTGCTTTGGGAAATTTTGTCGAAAATCGACGATCGTCATCATTGAGGATAATTTCCTCGATTTCCTCGGTTTGACTGCCGGACTCGGCGTCCCAGAGACGAAGAAATTGACAATAATCGTCACGTTGTTTGGCTTCGTTTATTAATGGCAAATAATCGTCATCGGAATTTGTTGGCGATATTTTTTCTGCATTTAATTCGGCATTCTTGAGGGATTCCAAATTTCTCAATAATTTCTGTGTCATTTCCTCTGTGTCGAGAATTTCCTGCTCCAAACGGGATGAGAATGAACATTCACCGTCGGGACTCGAAATGCAATCTTGAAAAATCTGTGGAAAATAAAATTGTGAATAAATATAAAATGGAAAAATTCAAATAGAAAATTGAAAATTAAAAAAAAAAATTAAATTTTAGATTCTTTTCAATATATTTATTTCAGTTTTTATGTTTTTTTACTTTAAATTAATTTCAATTATTTTCAATTATTTTCAATTATTTTCAATTATTTTCAATTAAATTCAATTAATTTTTAAATATTTTCACTATTATCTATTGTAGTTTCAATTATTTTTAATAAATTTTCAATTATTTTTATTATTTTATTCAACTTTCAAAATTTAATTTAATTTTTATTTATAGGTATTTTCATTTTTTTTTTTTATTCAATTTTCAATTATTTTCATTACTTTAAAAAGTATTCAAGTTATATGAAATATTTCATTTAATTTTCAATTATTCTCAAGTTTCAATTAATTTCTATTAAATTTAATAAATTTTCAAATATTTTCAATATTTTGAATATAATTGAAAATAATTGAAACTTAATAGTTTCAATTATTTTCAATTATATTCAATCAATATTCAATTATTTTTGTTATTTTACTCAATTATCGAAATTTCAATTATAAAAAGAATTACAATTCCGCAATTTCAATTATATTCAATCAATTTTCAATTATTTTTGTTATTTTACTCAATTATCAAAATTTCAATTATACAAAAATATTCTAATTCAATTTTAATTATATTCAATCATTTTTTCAATTATTTATATTGTTTTATTTAACTTTCAAAATTTTATTAAATTTTTTTCAATTATTTCAACTATTTTGGTTCATATTTTTCAAAAATATATTTTTTTTTATTATTTTATTTAAATTTCAATTATTTTTCAAAATTTTTTCTTCGGTTTTTGTATGTTAAATTCATTTTTCTAGTTAATTTTTAATTACTCTGAATATTTTATTTAATTTTCAATTTTTTTTTCAAAATTTTTTTTTCCATTTTTTAAAATATTTTTTTTTTCTTCAAATTTTTGTGTTTTCTATTTTGAATTATTTTCAATTGAATTCTTATTAATTTTCAATTATTTCCTATTATTTTCTATTTAAATTTCAATTATTTTCAATATTTTATTTAATTATAAATTATTTGCAATTAAATTCAACAAATTCCTAATTATTATTTTCATTATTTTCTATTTTAATTTCAATTTTTTTCAAAATGCATTATTTAATTTTTCAATTATTTGCAAATTGCAATTTGCAATTTGGAATTTTTAATTGTTTTCAATATTTTATTTGCTTTTCAATTAGAAATTAAATTTTGTAGAATCATTTATTTAATTTCCAATTCTTTTAAACATTTTTTTCCTCAATATTTTGTGTTTGATATTTTTTAAATTATTAGCAATGATTTTAAATTTCTTTATTAAATTTTCAATTTTTTTTTTAAAATTATTTTATGAAATAAAGAAATAAAACATTGAAATAAACAAAAATGGAAAAAATTAAAATAGAATATAATTGAATTAAAATAAGGGAATTTAATGATTGAAATAGAAATAAGTATGTAAATTCAAAAATGAAAATGGAAATAAAAATATAAAAATTGATATATGAATAGGAATAGAAAAATTGGAAATAATTGCAATACACAATGGAAAAAAAAGGAGTTTTGCTTTTATATTACCTGCTCATCGGAAGATTGACTTTTAGTTTCACAATCATGCAGATAAGAAAATTGTGTCATAATTATTTCCTTTTCCACATCATCATCATCATCATCATCGTCATTGTGTTCAAAAATTTCATCTTGTGTCGATTGAAAATTCTCCGCTGTCGCCATTTCTCCTTTTTCCCTCAGATTTTCCGTTGGCAATTATATATTTTTTTTCCGATTTAATTGTATAAATGGAAAAAATCTCCAAATAATAATTATTATTATTATCCGTTAAAAAACAACTTTTTCAACAAGAACACATTTTTCATTAATGCGGAAAATTGACTTGCGTTAAGTTACGAATGAAGTCAGCTCCGTCATAGCAACGAACGTCGCGTCGTCACCTTTTACTTGTTTTGTCGATTATTCCCTGTATCTCCAATTTTTTCCTTCTTTTTCTTCCTGAAAAACAATAATTACAAAATTAAAATTACTTCTACATCTTATCCTGCAACGAATTTTATTATTCATGAAAAAATTTCAATATTTAGAAAAATAATTTAATTCTTGCGAAGAATTTTATTAAAATTGTTAAATAATATTCATTTGTTCCGACTAATTTTATGCAAATTCCAATTTAAATAAGTAATTTTTTAATTCTGACAAAGATTTAAAAAAAAAAAAAATTTTTTAAATAATTGAATTCTGTTTGGGAATTTTATGAAAATAGTAGATATTGAAATTAATTGATGTGCGAAAAGTTTTTAAAAATAAATTTTACAAAGAATTCTATTAAAATTTTTGACAATAATTGAATGTCTCTGTGGTATTTTATTAATTTTTTTTTTTATTTAAAAATAATTGAATTCCTATTTCCTAAAAGGCATTTTATTATATTTAAGAAAATAATTGAATTCTTGTGAATGATTTTATTAGAATTTTTCAAAATAATTAAATTTTTCAAGAAGAAATTAATTACTTTTAAAAATAATTGAATTCTTCTGATGAATATTGTTATTTATGAAAATAATTGAATTTTTTAAAGAATTTTATTAAAGATGCCTCAAAATAATTGAATTTTCGCGAATAATTTTGTTATTTTTCGAAAAAATTGAATTCTTTCGAAGAATTATTTATACGTAAATAATTGAATTCTCAGGAAGAATTCTATTAAAATCGAAAAAAATAATTGAATTATTTCCAAAAAAAAAATTTAATTAAAATTGTATTTAAAATAATTGATTTATTTCGAACAATTTTATTAAAATATTTCAAAATAAAATTGAATTCCAGTGACGAATTCTAATATTTTTGTAAATAATATTGAATTCTTCCAAAGAATTAAAAAAAAATTTTTTTTTTAAATAATTGATTTTTTTCGAAGAATTTAAATTAAATTTTTAAGAATAATTAAATTTTTTTTTTGAGCAATTCCTGTAATATTTTATTAAAAACTAGTGAAATCCTGCGATGAATTTTACTATTTATGAAAATAATTGAATATTTGCTAACAATTTTATTAAAATTTTCAAAAAATAATTGAATTCCTAAAAAGAATTTTATTAAAATCCGTGAAAATAATTGAATTTTCGGGAATAACTTTGTTATTTATTTTTAATAATTGAATTTTTTCGAAAAATTATTTATACGTAAATAATTGAATTCTCGGGAAGAATTTTATTAAAATCTAAAGGAATAATTGAATTATTTCAAAAAAATTTAATTAAACTTGTGTTTAAAATAATTGATTTCTTTTGAACAATTTTATTAAAATATTTGAAAATAATTGAATTGCTTGGGAAAAATTCTAATATTTTTGTAAATAATTGAATTCCTCCAAAGAATTTTTAAAAAACATATTTTTTAATAATTGATTTTTTTCAAAAGAAAATTTTCAAAAATAATTGAATTCTTGAAAAGAATTTTTTTATTATGAAAATCATTGAATTATTGCCAAAAATTTTATCAAAATGTTTAAAAAGAATTGAATTTCTGTGGAAAATTTTATTATTTTTGAAAATAATTGAATTGCTTCATGAGAATTTTATTGAATATTTGTTTTAAATAATTAATTTTTTCGTAATATAATAAATATTATGAAAATTTTATTTTAAATAATTGAATATTCTTATGGGAAACTTTATTTATGAAAATAATTGAATTTTTGCTTAGAATTTTATCAAAAAAAAATTTTCTAAAAAATTGAATTTCCATGAGAAATATTATTATTATCAGTGAAAGTAATTGAATTATTGTGAGGAATTGTATAAAAATTTTGTTAAATAATTGATTTTTTGGAAATTTTTTTGGAAATGCTATTTTAAATTAATTGAATTCCTGCATGTGAAATTTTTATTATTTCTGAAAATAATTGGATTTTGGATGAATTTTATCAATTTTTTTTTTTTTAATAATTGAATTCTTTTGCGAAATTTTATGAAAATAATTGAATTTGGAATATTTTTTGAAAATAATTAAATCGTTTTAAAGAATTTGATTATAATTTATGAGAATAGTTTTTTTTATTTCTAGTATTAGCGAGTTTAAAGTAGTATTGATAGAAATTTTGTAATTTTGTAATTTTTTTTTTTTTTTTTTTTTTTTGTAATTTTTTTTTTATTAGTAAAATAAAAGTACATATTTATATTTTTTTTGAGAGTAAAAAAAATCTCTCTCTCGAAAAAAGTTTTTTTTCGAATATTAAATTTACGTTTTTGATAATTCTATAAGAAAGTGCCAAAAAAAGAAGAAAAAAGAAAAGAGACTATCGAGAAGGATAAAATTCAAAAAGTATAGAAGACTAGCATCTGCCGATTTCGAATTCAAAGTATATTCAAATGCGATTCCGCTTCTGCCACCCCCGCTGTGCGATTCGCAATGGCACGCGCGAGATTCAGAATTTTTTTTTTCTTTTTTCGCTTTAAGGAAGACGGAGTGAAAAAAAGCGAAACACCCACTGTAAAAAAAAAATTTGCTTTTCAAAATTTTAACCTCGCGGCGAATTATATACAATATCATCTCGATTCAATTACATAATCTTTTTCTTTTTTTTCTTCTCGATAGCAATCTTGCACAGACTCCAAAAAAAAAAAAAAAAAAAAAAAAAAAAAAAAATGGAAAAAAAACTGGAAAAAATCCAAGAGACGTCGTCTCTTTAGTTCTTGATGCCGAGGTCAGGGTCATCAACCGAATCTCGAAATTTATCCTTCTGAAAATTATTTGCATTCACGAATACGAAATTTTTATTTCTCTCTTAACTTTTTACAGCATAGGAATTTTTACCTTTGTTTTTAATTATGTAATATGAGAAAATAAATTAGTATTTAAGTAATTTATATTTTTTTTATTATTTTTTGTCATTTCCTGTTATTTTTCGGCAATTCTTGTAATTTTTTGTTACTTTCTGTTATATTTTTCGTTACTTTTTTTACTTTTTTTGTCAATTGTCATATTTCTATTTTCAATTAATGTTTAATTATTTCAATAATTTTCTCTATTTTTCAATTATTTTCCAATTATTATTCAATTAATTTTCAATTACTTTCATTATAGTCTTTAATTTTCAGTTATTTTCAATTTTTTATTAATAAATTAAAAAAAATAAAAAATAGTTGATAAAAATTGAAAATACATAAAAATATTTAATTTTCAATTATTTTAATTATGTTCTATAATGTTGAATTATTTTCAATATTTTAGTAATAAATTAAAAAAAATTGATAAAATTGAAAAGTTATAAATATTCAATTTTCAATTATTTTCTTTAAATTTTCAATTATATTCAATCAATTTTCAATTATTTTCTTTAATTTTCAATTATATTCCATCATTTTTCAATTATTTTTTTAAATTTTCAATTATATTCAATCAATTTTCAATCATTTCCTTTAATTTTCAATTATGTTCTATCAATTTTCAATTATTTTTTTTAAGTTTCAATTATATTCAATCAATTTTCAATCATTTCCTTTAATTTTCAATTATATTCTATCAATTTTTAATTTTTTTAAATTTTCAATTATATCCAATCCATTTTCAATTATTTTTTAATATTTTCAATTAAATTAAATCAATTTTAAATTACATAAATAAAATTAAAAAATTTTCAATTATTTACTTTAATTTTCAATTGTTTTCTTTAATTTTCAAATAAATTCAATCAATTTTTAATCATTTCCTTTAATTTTCAATTATATTCTATCAATTTTTAATTTTGTTTTTAATTTTTAATTATATTCAATCAATTTTTAATTAATTTTTAAAATTTTCAACTATATTCTTTAATTTTAAATTATATTCAATCAATTTTCAATTATTTCAATTATTTTTTAATATTTTCAATTAAATTAAATCAATTTTAAATTACATAAATAAAATTAAAAAATTTTCAATTATTTACTTTAATTTTCAATTGTTTTCTTTAATTTTCAAATAAATTCAATCAATTTTTAATCATTTCCTTTAATTTTCAATTATATTCTATCAATTTTTAATTTTGTTTTTAATTTTTAATTATATTCAATCAATTTTTAATTAATTTTTAAAATTTTCAACTATATTCTTTAATTTTAAATTATATTCAATCAATTTTCAATTATTTCAATTATTTTTTAATATTTTCAATTAAATTAAATCAATTTTAAATTACATAAATAAAATTTAAAAATTTTCAATTATTTACTTTAATTTTCAATTGTTTTCTTTAATTTTCAAATAAATTCAATCAATTTTTAATCATTTCCTTAAATTTTCAATTATGTTCTATCAATTTTCAATTATTTTTTTAAAGTTTCGATTATATTCAATCAATTTTCAATTAATTTTTAAAATTTTCAACTATATTTTTTAATTTTAAATTATATTCAAAAAGTTTTCAATTATTTCAATTATTTTTTAATATTTTCAAATATATTTAACCAATTTTCAATTATTTTCTTTAATTTTTAATTTTCAATTATATTCAATCAATTTTCAGTTATTCCAATTATTTCTTAAAAATTTTCAATTATATTCAATTAATTTTCAATTTTTTAAAATTATTTTTTGTAAATTTTCAAATTATTTTCTTTAATTGTCAATTATATTCAACCAATTTTCAATTATTTTCAATATTTCATTATTAAATTAAAAAAACGAAGCAAATAAAAATTGAAAATATAGAAATATTTCATTTGCAATTATTTTAAAATATTTTATGAATAAAATGTGTACAAAAAGAAATTAAACAGTAAAAAAAATATTTTATTTCGTTAACAATTATTTTCAATTTTCTTTCTAATTTTCAAATATTTAACTTATATTTTATGAATGAAATTTCTTTATAAAAAGTAAATGAAAAGTCTACAGACAAATATTTTTTTTGAATTATCAATTTTTTTTTTTGAATTTTCTTCTTAGTTTTCAATTTTTCTCTATGTTTTATTTAATTTTCAATTTTTTTGCAATTTTCTTTTTTTTATTTTCAATTATCAATATTAAACTTTTCATTATTTTATTTAATTAATTTTTTGAAAATTCATTCTGGAAAATTGGAAGAATTTCAAAATTTAATTGATAAATTTTAATAATTTTCATTTAAAACTATTGTCAACCTTTTAAAATATTGAAAATTATCAAATATTTAATTTTTTAATATTTAAAGTTTTAATAATTTTTAAATTATAAAATTAATTTTTTTTTATCCTTTTCAGATGTTCATTGTCATTTTTTTCCCTTTTTTGTTATTTTTCGTTTGATTATGTCATTTTTTGCTATTGTTTGTTATTTTTCATCAGTATTCATTGTTATTTTTTAATCTCTATTATTTTTTTTCTGATTTTGCTATTTTCTTTATTTTCTACGATTTAGACATTTTTAAATTATTTTTTGTTTCTTTTTGCTTTATTTTTTTTTATATTTTCTTTCTTCTTTTGTCTTGTCTTGTTGTTTTTCTTCATTTTTATTTTTTTGTGTCATTTTTTGTAATTTTTGTAATTTTTATAATTTTTTTTTTATTGTTATGTTACTTTTTGACTTTGTAAATTATTTTTTGCCATTTTTAAATTTTTATTTGTCATTTTTCATATTTTTTGTCTTGTTTTGTTATCTCTTGCTGTTTTCTGTCTTTTTTAGTCTTGTCCTATTTTTTTTCTTATAATTTTGGTCAGTTTTTTGTCGTTTTTTTTACTTAGTTTTTATTTTTTTTTTTGTCTTTTGTCGTCACTTTTTGTTCTTTTTTGCATTTTTTTCTCCTTTTTTTGTCATTTCTATTACAATTTCTTGTTTTTTTTTTCAAAAATATTTTTTACTTATTGTCAAAAAAAAAAAATATTTCATTCAAAAAGAAATAATTGCAAGAAAACGAAAAATAATTCCACTATACCTAATGAAATTGAATTCGATTTTTCTCGCCGGGAGAAAATTTCAAAAAAAAAAAAAAATTAAATAAATAAAAAAGGAAAAGGTAAATTTATTCAAGATTCACGGACGAACAAGTCGAATATAAACGCATGGAAGCGTCTAATGCATCGCAACAACACGGCATATAAGAGTTAAAAGTGTCTAACATTATATTATGATAAGTCCAGAAACGCGTCGGGAAAATTCATAAATAATTGATCTTGAAATGGGATTTTGTCCCTGAGACTATCCATTCATTTATTGTTTTTATATTTTCTCTCTCCTCTCCCTTTCCTTCAGGTATCGATAGATCACCATAAATTCTATATCCTACGGAAACTTGCATACATTTTAATAGCATTACCATTTCCCGTGAAATATTCCCTTTGCACTTTGTTCCATTACTTTTTAATTTTGAAAATATTAAAAACTATGACGAATGCAAAATTTTGAAAAAATAAAAAAAAAAAAATAAATATAGAAAAATAAAAATAGAAAATAATATTGAAAATCTAAAAAATAAAATATGGAAAAATTAAAAGAAAAGAAAATAATTGAAAATAGAAAATATTGAATAATTGAAAATAGAAAATATTGAATAGTTGAAAATAAAAAATATTGAAAATTTAAAAAAAAAAAATGTTGAAAACTTAAAGAAAAGAAAATTGAAAATTGTAGATATTGAATAATAGAAAACAGAGAATATTAAAAAATTAAAAAAGAAAATATTAAAAAATAAAACAAGAGTAAATATTATAAATTTATAAAATTAAAAACAGAAAAAGTTAAAAGGAAAAGAACCAAGAAAATACAGCAAAAATCAAATTAACCTTATTTCCCCCTTTAAGACACGTATCCCTTTTCTCAGCTATGTAATTTATTCCCTAATTGGTCCTCTTTATCTAATAGTATTTTTTTTTTTTTTTGAGAAACATTGAAAACTGGCATTATTGATATAGTAGAATTTTGAAGGGGCTGAATATCTTGTATTCAATTCTCTAGAGCATAATTTATCGTTTCCCATATGTATTAGCTATTCATATATTCATTTCCCTTCGTTTTCTTTCATTCATTAACATATTCACATTTTTTTCATGTTTCTTATCTGCGCGAGCTGATAAAAAAAAATATGTTTTAACTTTCGATTTACACGGGACATTTTTTTCAATTTTTTTTTCACTAAAACCATATAGACAAGGACGATTAATGTTTTTCAGAAAAAAGTAAACGGGTATTTGAATTCACATTTTTAAGTTATGGAAAAAATTTTTTTTTCTAACCGAAGAATTTTTCTGCGACTAAATGAAAATTTTTTTTTATCCAAAATAATTTATTTACTAAAATTTACAAATAGAACCGATTATTAATTTTTTAATTGATTATTTATTTATTTATCAATTTGCATATTTACAATTTGACTAAATTTTAATTTTTTTAACCATAATAATTTATATACTAAAATTTACAATAGAACCGAATATTAATTTTCTAATTGATTATTTATTTATTTACAATTATTATTATTCTATTTACTATTTTTTATATTATTTATTTACCACTGTTTAGTTATGTACTATTTTTAGTTATTATTTATTTATTTTTATTTATTTATTTATCATTTATTGTAATTGTTTATGTCTTACTTTAATAATTATTTATTTGTTATTTTTTATAACTATTGTTTAATTAATTTTCGCATTTGATATTTGAATAATTAAAATTTATTTTTTTAATGAAAATAATATTTATTTACTAAAATTTCGCAATAGAACCGAATATTAATTTTCTAATTAATTATTTATTTATTTACAATTATTATTATTCTAATTAATATTTTTTATATTATTTATTTACCATTGCTTAGTTATTTATTATTTTTGTTAATTATTGTTTATTTATTTATCATTTTTTATAATTATTTATGTCTTACTTTAATAACGATTTACTTGGTATTTTTTATAACTATTGTTTAATTAATTTTCGCATTTGCTATTTGAATAATTTATTTTTTAAATCTATTTTTTATTTAATTTTTTTTTTAATGAAAATAATTTATTTACTACAATTTACAATAGATCCAAATATTGATTTTCTAATTAATTATGTATTTATTTATCAATTTTTGCGCAGTTATAATTTAAATAAATTTTAATTTCTTTTAATAAAAATAATTTATTAACTAAAATTTCGCAATAGAACCGAATACTAATGTTCTAATACTAATTAATTATTTATCTATAATTATTGTTATTCTACTTCTTATTTTTTACATTATTTATTTATTTCCCACTGTTTAGTTATTGTTTTTGTTAATTATTATTAATTAATATATTTTTTTTATTTGCTTTATTAATTATTTATCATTGACTATAATTATTTACCTCTAACTGTAAGCATTGTTTATTTATTGTTTTTTAAACTATTGTTTAATTAATTTTCGCATTTTCTATTTGACTAATTTTAATTTTTGTTAATAAAAATAATTTATTTACTATTTATTTATTTAAAAGTTTGTTTTATATTTAATAGAACCGAACATTAATTTTTTAACTAATTATTTATTGATTTACTATTATTAGTATTATTTTATTTATTATTTTTTCCTATTACTAATTTAACTTACTATTTTTATTTATTATAACGATTATTTATTCATTATTTTTTATAAATAATTTTTATAATTCTTGTTTTTATAGTTACTTTTTAGTTATATTTATTTTTTATTGGTAATTACTTTAGAAGTTATTTTTAAATTATTTTTAAACTATCTTTACAGATAAATAATCGAAAGTTATTGACTTAATTTTTTCTGCTTAAAATTGGGCTCCAGATGTAACGTAATATTTTTTTAGCACGGTTAGTCACTTACAATCGTAACTTCTTTCCATTTACAGATTTTTTTATTTTCAAATCAATAGTTTCGCTCTGAATTGAACAAAAATATTTTTTTGAGGTTAGTTACTTGTAAATTCTTTTACCTCGTCAAGATTTGCTTGCAAAAAATTTTGCTAAGTTTTCTGGTTAAAATTGGGCTCCAGATATAACCTAATACATTTTTTTTCTAATTTAATTTATACTTACCATTTTTAATTTCTGGTTACAAGAATTTTGCTCTGCAAAACAAGGAAATAAGATTAATTTTCTAGGTTATGTTTACTTTTTTAACCTCTTACCTAGGTCTATATTTATAAATATAATCCAAGGTAAGATCTCACCTTTTTTCGAATTACTATTTTCCAACTAAAAAAAGAAAAAAAAATCGTCAATATGTATTGACTCACTGTATTGTTCGTCTAATTACGTGAAAATTAATTGCTGACGTTGACACCATTTACAATAATGTCGCTAGAATATATTTGTGCCAGAAAAATAAGATGTTTTGATCCACCACAAAAGAATGTAAATAAAGAACAAAATTAGGTCAGTGGAATTGTAAAGTTGTGTTTGTATTTTGTTTTTCGGTCTAAAAGTCCACTTTCTTTTTTCTCGAATCATCGAAAGGTGCTGGAAAATTCGAATTTCATAATATCGCCGTTACTATTAGTCATCGAGTGTGTGATAATGATTATAATAGTATACCAATACGTTTAGTACACGTATTTATAGAAATAAATATTTACAACAGTGGAATTTTATTACAGTAGTGAATCACAGAAATTAAACAAACAGGATTCGCGACATCCTTTCTCTTCTAATTCTCAGAACTTGTTTTCTTTGTAAAATTCAATTACTTATTGCAAATCGTAAAACAAAAATTAAATTAGAGAAATATTTTTTAGGGACCGCGGGTTACAATACATAGATTGTAGACAGTTTTGTTACCTCCACCCAGGGGACCAGGGGTGGGCAGTTGCGGATTTGGACAAAACCCCAAAAGTGATGGATATGAACGACCCTTTAGACCCTTTAAACACCGGAAATGACAAAAACGTTGCAAAAACATCTCGAAGTCTCACGACTTCGAAAAGTTTTTACAACGTTTTTGTTATAGAATTAGAAGAATTATTTTTCCCTAAAGAGTGAGAAAAAAAAGGGTGAGAATGGGAAAATGTTTAATAAAATTCTTTATTTGGATCGGAATCACGAAGAGCGTAAAACAAATTACCAATGTAAACGGAACTGGCAGAGTAGGTAGATACAAATCTTTCTGAATAGCGGTACTTTCTTTCTGTTTTTTTTTTCTTTTTTTTTTATTTGACTTGGCCACGTGGTACCTCAATACTTGTGATTTCGACAAGTTATGTCAATTGTTGTCACGCTCGCAAATGCAGGTCATCCATCCCTCCCTTTAAAAATACACGTTCGATAAGGTCGCACAAACAAGAAAAAGTTCTCGAATCAATCTTCCGGATCGGATCATCAGCCAACTTTTACACGTGTTGCAACAACCTACTTCAGTGCCGAATATGCCGAAAAAAAGAAATAAGTCCAAAAATAGACAGATTCATATAAAAACAAGTGACGCGATTTTTTTTTTTTTTTTTTGAAAAAGGAGGGAAGAGAGAGAAATTAAAGGGCAAGTTTTTAGGTTATGTTTACAATTTTTTTTTAGAAATAATAATAAATATAGGGGAAATGAGAAATACTAATACTGCAAAATGGAACAAGTGACGTGAGCTTTATAAAAAGGGAAAATTGAAAAAAGCAAAAATTTTTAGGTTATGTTTGCAACTTTTACGCGAAATTCGCGAAAATATATTGTGATAGGAGAAAATGGATTTAGAAAAAAGTTAATAGTTTGAAAAACAAACAAAAACTGATATTTCGCATATAATTTAGTTGGAAAATGAAAAAAAATTGATAAATTTAGTCGAAATTCAAAATTTTGAAATATTCTGTAGAAATAAAATCAAAAACTCGTCGGTTTTTTTTAAACTTGATGAAAAATTTTCAAAATCGTGTTCAAAAATGAATTTTCGCCTATAATTTAGTTTGAAAATGAAAAAAAATTACGAATTTGGTTAAAACTGAAGATTTAGAAAATTTTTTGAAAAAAAAATTTGAAAAAATCGACAAATTTTACGATTTTGAAAAAACAACGAATTTAAATTTTTCAGAAATTTTTAAAATCGTTCAAAAACTGAATTTTTAAATTTTGAAACAATTTCAAAATCGTTCATAAAATTGTTTTTTTACTTATAAAATTTAGTAGGAAAATAAAAAAATTTCATAAATTTCATCGAAATTGAGAATTTTGAAATTTTCTGTAGATAAAAACGAAAAAATCGACGAATTTTAATTTTTTAAGAAATTATCAAAATCTTTTAAAATCTGAATTTTCTCGTATAATTTAGTTGGAAAATGAAAAAATTTCAAGAATTTAGTTGAAAATAAAGATTTTGAAATTTTCTGTAGCAAAAAATCGAAAAAACAATTTTTAAATTTTGAAGAATTTTTAAAATCAATCAAAATCTGAATTTTCTTGTATAATATAGTTGGAAAATAAAAAAATTTCAAGAATTTACTCGAAAATCAAGATTTTTAAATTTTCTGTAGCAAAAAATCGAAAAAACAATTTTTAAATTTTGAAGAATTTTTAAAATCAATCAAAATCTGAATTTTCTTGTATAATATAGTTGGAAAATAAAAAAATTTCAAGAATTTACTCGAAAATAAAGATTTTGAAATTTTCTGTAGCAAGAAATCGAAAAAATAACGATTTTTAAATTTTGAAGAATTTTCAAAATCGTTCAAAAACTTATTTTTTTGTCTATAATTTAGTTAGAAAATGAAGAAAATTGACGATTTTAGTCAAAAATCAAGATTTTTGAATTTTTTGTAGAAAGAAAACGAAAAAAACGAGGATTCTTAAATTTTAAAATATTTTCAAAATCGTTCGAAAAATGAATTTTCGCTTAAAATTTTGTTTGAAAATAAAAAAAAAATTCAGTTTAAATTTAAGATTGAGAAAATTTTCTGCAAAAAGAAATGCAAAAAAATCGACGAATTTCACGATTTTGAAATTTTTTATAATAAACGACGGTTTTTAAATTTTTAAAAAAATTTCAAAATCGCTTAAAAACTGATTTTTTTGCATAAATTTAGTTGGAAAATGAATAAAAATTGACAAATTTATTCGAAATTCAAGATTTTGAAATTTTCTGTAGAAAAAGAATCAAAAAATCGACGAATTTTAATTTTTGAAAAATTTTTATAATCATTTAAAAACTGAATTTTTGAGTATAATTTAGTTTGAAAATGAAAAAAAATTACAAATTTATTCAAAATTTAAGATTTAGAAAATTTTTGGAAGAAATAATTCTAAAAAATTGACGAATTTCATAATTATGAAATTTTATATAGAAAAAAACGACGATTTTTAAATTTTGAAAAATTTTCAAAATTGTTCAAAAATTAATTTTTTGAGTATAACTTAGTTGGAAAAAGAAGAAAACTGAAGAATTTGTTCGAAATTCAAGATTTTGAAATTTCACGTAGAAAAAAAACAAAATAATCGTCGGTTTATAAATTTTTTGAAAAATTTTCAAAATCGTTTAAAAACTGATTTTTTGCATAAATTTATTTGGAAAATGAAAAAAAATTGACGAATTTGTTCGAAATTCATGATTTTGAAATTTTCTGTGGAAAAAAAACAAAAAATCGACGAATTTTAATGTTTGAAAAATTTTCAAAATCATTCAAAAACTGAATTTTTAAGTACCTATAATTTAGTTTAAAAATGAAAAAAAAATTACAAATTTAGTCAAAATTTAAGATTTAGAAAATTTTATGAAAAAAAATTCAATAAATTCGACGAATTTTACAATTATAAAATTTTCTATAAAAAAACGATTTTTAAATTTAAAAAAATTTCCAAAATCGTTCAAAAACTAATTTTTTGCGTATAATTTAGTTTGAAAATAAAAAAAAATGACAAATTTATTTAAAATTTAAGATTTAGAAAATGTTTGGAAAAAATAATTAGATATAATCGACGAATTTCACAATTATAAAATTTTCTATAGAAAAAATCGACGAATTTTAATTTTTAAAAAATTTTCAAAATCGTTTAAAAAACTATTTTTTTGCGTATAATTTAGTGGGAAAATGAAGAAAATTGATAAATTTAGTCGAAATTCAAGATTTTGTAATTTTCTGTAGAAAGAAACCAAAAAAATCGACGAATTTTAATTTTTGAAAAATTTTCAAAATCGTTTAAAAACTAATTTTTTGCGTATTTTTTATAATTGAAAAATAAACAAAATTGACGAATTTAGTCGTAGTCAAATCAGTGACACACTTTTGCTAAATGATAAAATGGAAATATAAAAAATTTGTAAGTTATGTTTGTAATTTTCTCCTTTGCAATTTAAGTGTAATGAGATTAATCTTCCTCTTTTTTTGTTGTTGATAATTTGCAACAGTTACATATTGGTATGGTAAAATAGAGAGAAATAAAAGTTTCGATAGATATCTTGCACTGAAATCAAAGCTCTTATTGTAATTTTTAACAGGCGATCTCGCACGTGTTTTTGCGTGAACATAAATCCTCGATACATATTTCCATTAACTCATGATAGCTTCCGCGATCCACGTGGAAAAAATGTATTGTAAGTGAAGAGAGAAAAAAATTTTTTTTTTTTTAATAATTAAAAAAAACACAAATAAACATTTTAAACATAAAAGAAAAACGCAAAACGGCACAAAAATCTAAATTTTTAAAAATTATTCCTTTTTTTCTCATTTTGTTTTAAAGATTAAAATTACGTTCTGTGGCCTACTTTTTGGAAAGTTTTTCTTTTTTTTTTATTTCTATGGACTTTTTGGAATTTTTCCGACAATTTTCCAAAAAAAAAAATCGACTTTTTCGACTTATTTTCAAATATTAATAATAAATATAAAATATAATTTACAATAAAATTTAATAATATTCAAAACATAAATTTAATTAATTTATTAAAAACGCGAAAAAGTAAATTTAAGATTTGAAAAAGCCCGCGTTATAATTAATTGCCAGAGGGCGCCATCGACTTTCTCGCAAGTGGTAAAGTAATTTTAAAAAAAAGAGCATTTTTCGTGTCATTTTTAAAAAATTTGACTTTTTTCGACCTCCTTTAAAAAATGTGACTTTTCTTTCAAATATTTCAACAAAAAATATCAGTTTTTGGAGATT